TTTTTTTTTTTTTTTTTTTTTTTTTTTTTTTTTTTTTTTAAGGGTTGGGGTTGTGGTTTTGGTTGTTTATTTAATTTCATGTTTTTATTTTATTTGTATTTATATGGGGGAAAGTAAAAGTAGGTTGTTCCTGCATACATAAACCCTTCTAAACCCTAAACCCTAAACCCTCACAAACCCTAAACCCTCTCCTAAACCCTAAAGCCTTCTAAACCCTAAACCCTAACCTGAATCAACTAGGGTTTTGCCGAAAGCATCTTCTCCTTCTCCTAAACCCTAAACCCTAAACCCTAAACCCTTCTAAACCCTAAACCCTTCTAAACCCTAAACCCTTGTAAACCCTAACCTGAATCAACTAGGGTTTTTCCGAAAGCATCTTCTCCTTCTCCTAGTATTTCTCCATCTGCCTCCATTTTTAATATTTGTATTTTATACGCCGCTTTGCTTGTGAGGGCGGTCCAGGCGATGAAGCGATTAGGGTTTAGAGACGAAACCCTAAACCCTAATTCAGAGAAAGGAGAGAAAGAAGAGGGTTTAGGAGAAGGGGGAGAGAAAGAAGAGGAAAGAGGGTTTATAAACCCTCCTAAACCACCTAATAAACCCTCACGAGGGTTTGGAGAAACCCTCGAACCCTCCGTAAACCCTAAACCCTCCCTAAACCCTAAACCCTCAGCATCAACTAAACCAGGCTCAATGCCTCCTATCGTTAGTAAACCCCCATCCTCTGATTCACAACACACACAAACACAAACCCTCATTAACCCTAAACCCTAATTCATCCTAAACCCTAATTAACCCTAAACCCTAATTCATCGTAAACCCTAGTTCACTGTAAACCCTAATTAACCCCAAACCCTAATTTATACACGCTAAACCCTAAACCCTAGACCCCAAACCCTAAACCCCAAACCCTAAACCCTAAACCCTAAACCCTTGTAAACCCTAACCTGAAATACAAATAGAGAAAACTCTTTCTTTGACTAAACCCTCTCTAAATATAATATCGATGAGCGTAGGCTGACGAAAACCCTTGGGGAAAGAAACCCCAAAGATGCCGGATGCTTTTTGGGTTATAAATAAAGAGGTTTCGCGGATGTGGCAACCTGCGTATACACCCCAAAACCCTAAACCCTAAACCCTTCTAAACCCTCCTAAACCCTAAACCCTAAACCCTAGAATCTGAGTTGGTTGTAAAACCCGCTAAAAATTAAACACTGATTCGAAATAAACCCTAATTGTCGTAAACCCTAATTCAACTATCATAACCCTTATCCATAAACCCTAAACCCTAAACCCTAAACCCTTTAAAAAATAAACCCTAATAAAACCCCAACCCAAGCCCATCATCAGCTCCTTCTCTGCGTCGATATTCCCTACAAAGAGTCCTCTATCTCTGTATACTTTATACATTAGGGTTTAGGGTTTAGGGTTTAGGGTTTAGGGTTTATACCTATAAAATCATATCGTATACTGGGGCTCAAACCCTCGGGGCCCCCCAAAGAAACTAAATCAGAGAAATAAACCCCAGAGATGCTGCTGCCTTCACTGTATGTTTGGGTGTATGCACAGCTCCTGCTGTTTGCTGCTGCTGCTGCTGCAGTCCCCCCTTCTCCCCCAGCAGCAGCAGCAGCAGCAGCAGCAGCAGCAGCAGCAGCAGCAGCAGCACCAAGACGCTGACGCCCAGAACAAGTACCGAAGCATTTGCTGCTGTCTCTGCAGTCTACCCATCTGCTGCTTGTCGATAAAAAAGGCGAAAATAAAGAATCCAAGTGTACACCGCAATGCTCGCAACCTCAGCAGCAGCAGCAGCAGCAGCAGCAGCAGCAGCAGCAGCAGCAGCAGCAGCAGCAGCAGCAGCAGCAGCAGAAGCAGCAGCAGAAGCAGCAGCAGCAGCAGCAGCAAGAAGGAGGAGAAGGATATAATTATAGGGAAGCGGAAGCAGCAGCAAGTAGTAATAGTGCAGCAGCAGCTGATGCAGCAGCAGCAGCAGCAGCAGCAGCAGCAGCAGCAGCAACAGCAGCAGCAGCAGCAGCAGCAATGTAATAGCAACAGCAGCAGCAAGCAGCAAAGGAGGCAGCAGAAAGAACAATACAAGCAGCAGCAGCAGCAGCAACAGCTAGTAATATAATATAATATAATATAATATAATATAATATAATATAATATAATATAATATAATATAATATAATAAAAATATATAAACAGAAGAAAAAGCAACAAAACAAAAAACAACAAAACAAAAAAAACAAAAACAATAAATAAATAAAATAATAATAAATATAATAAATAAAATAAATATAATAAATAAAATAAAATAGATAAAATAAACAATAAAATAAAATAAATAAATAAAGCAGAAAAGGAAAAGCAAAAAGAGAGCTGCCTGTATCTAAATAAAAACAAAAACAACAAAACAAAAACAAAAACAAAAAAAACAAATAAAACAAACACTAAAACAAATAAAATAAATAATAAAATAAATAAAATAAATAATAAAATAAATAATAAAATAAATAATAAAATAAATAAAATAAATAAAATAAATAAAATAAATAAAATAAATAAAACGAATACTAAAATAACAACAAAAACAACAAAACCACCAAAACAAACACAAAAACAACAAAACAAAAGCAAAAACAAACAAAACAAACAAAATAAAAAACAAAATAAACAAAATAAATAAAATAAAAAACAAAATAAACAAAATAAATAAAATAAAAAACAAAATAAACCCCTACCTGCACAAGGAAAGGCAAGAAGAGAGCTGCCTGTATCTATATAAAACCAAAAACAAAAAAAACAACAAAACCACCAAAACAAACGCTAAAACAACAAAACAAAAAG